CTCCAGGTGGGTTGGGACCAATTGATGCATTTCAGATGGCCACTCGCTAGCTTTTAAGACCCTAGACACCACTCACCAAAGTGAGATGCAGAACATTTTCTTAATAAACTTTGTTTTGCCAATTGACCTAGATGTCCCCTGAAACCATGGTCCCCAGACCCCCGCCCCTGCTACCCTGTACCTCGAAGTATTTGGTTGTATTCAGGAAATGTCTTAGCTTTGGTTTAGTCCAGTTGTGCTGACTTCTCCTGTAGTGGGTATTGTCCTTCCCTTCACCTAAGATAATTCTTGTCTACTATCTAGCTAGTGAATAGATGTGAGTGTTTTGAGCTGCAGGGGAGGGAGACTGTGGGTAGTCCTGTGTATCTGGGGGTGCGTCCACATGTGTGTCTCTGTCATGTGTTTCTGTATAGGTGTAAATTGGTATCTGTACCTCTTTAACTGGTGGAAGAATAAAAACTACCTTATTCTGTGGGATCCTCACTGACCACCTTGCCAACTTCTGTGTCAAAGAGTTTTGAATGCAACAGGACTCCAGAGGAATGATGAGGATTATGTCTGTGGGAACACTTCCTACAATCAAAATAGTTCTCTGTATGATTCCTGGGTCAGGAGATCTAAGTCACACCTAGAATTTGCTTCAGAATGGGGCTTGCTGATGTGAGAGGCTACACTCTACCAGCCATGATGAGAACAGACTGCTTTTAGGGTATGGAGTACGGGGCTATTTGATACCTCCCTATGCTGTCATCAGGATTAGAATCCCCAAGGGCACTTCTCCCCTCCCTACCATACCTTTCTTCCACCCTCTAGGACTTAGGCTGTATCAGAAAGAGAGTGACTCCAGCCAGCTGGCACTAAAGTGGAAACAGATCCATACTCTCTGGTGTTTCTAGCCATAAACCTGGATATACAAAGGGTTGGAGGATCAGGAAGAGGTAGGAGGCAGATCACAAAAAAAAGATTTCATAAAGGAAATAGATGGGAGAGAATGTAATTTTATTAGGCCATTTTGGCTTGACCCTACATTAACACATAATCAGAAGTCAGAGAGCAAGTGGCCAACAGGTACATGAAAAGATGCTCACCATCATTAGTCATTAGGGAAATGCAAATCAAAACCACAATGAGATACCACTTTACACTCACTAGGATGATTTATAATCAAAAAGATGTCACACAATAATAAGTGTTGACAGGATGAAGAGAGATTCGAACCCCTCATATACTGCTGGAGGGAATATAAAATGGTGCAGCCACTTTGGAAAAAAGTCTGGCAGTTTCTCAAAATGTTAAACATAGAGTTACCATACCTTAAACCAAAACCTACTGCCGTTGAGTCAATTCCGACTCATAGTGACCTTATAGGGTTTCCAAGGTTCATAGGGTTTCTGTAAATCTCTACGGAAGCAGACTGCCCCATCTTTCTCTTGCGGAGCTGCTGGTGATTTCAAACCACCAGCCTTTTGGTTAGCAGTCAGTTGCTTTAACCACTGGGCCACCAGGGTTCTGTAGGGTTACCATGTGACCAGGCAGTTCCACTTTCAGGTATGTACCCAAGAGAATTGCTAACCTATGCCCGCTAAATGTTTATAGCAACATTATTCATAATAGCCAAAAAGTGGAAACAATCCAAATGTCTATCAACAAATGAATGGATAAACAAAGTATTGTATAGCCATACAATGGAATATTATTTGGAAAAAAAAGAAATGAAGTACTTGATACATGCTACAACATGGATGAACCTTGAAAATGTCATGCTAAGTGAAAGAAGCCAGTCACAAAAGGCCACATATTGTATGATTCCATTTATATGAAATGTCCAGAATAGGCAAATCTATAGATACAGAAACTAGATTAGTGGTTACCAGAGCCTGGGGACGAGGGAATAGGGAATGACTGCTAATGGGTACAGGATTTCTTTTTGGAGTAATGAAGATGTTCTGTAATTAGATAGTAGTGATAGGTGCACAATTTTGTGAATATACTAAAAAAAAAAAAAACACTGAATTCTACATTTTAAAGGGGCGGATTTATGGTGTGTGAATTATATCTCAATTAAAAAAAAAAAAACAGAAGTCAGAGAAGAGTCCAATGTGGAACAGCTCTTAGTCTTATACTGGTTCCCAGAAGCTGCAGTATTTTATGAGCTAATCTGAAAACTTCTCTTATCTTTTAACCATTCAGAACACATGAATTAGGGTATCTTCTTAGAGAGTGTTTCCACAGACTGGCTTCAGAGAGGGTCATAAAACTGTTTCAGATCTTTTGACCTGCTTCCTGCTACCAACTTTAACAGACACTTATGGTAGGTCCTGTGTACACTCCAATCTGTTAACCACTGATGACAAACCTATAAGAGTCAAGCTCAGCAACCCACTCATGTAGAAGCACAATCCAGGCCTTTAAGACAGGGATCAGCAAACAGGTCATACAAAAACAGGTGGCAAGCAAGATTTGGCCCACAGGCTCTAGTCTGCCCACCCCGGCTCTAAAAGAAAACTCACAAGTAAGGGATAAGACGTTACATTAACTGATGCTGCTAAATTATTTGTCGGATGAATGAGTGAATCTGTAAGGGTATGGTTAAGCTTGTCAAATTCTCTTATCAGAATCCTTTACAAACCAGTTTCTGCCACTATCACTTCCTTCTTGAGAAGTCTCCTGAGATCTACTCTTGGTCTTCTTTTTCATAGCTTAGGTTGCCAACAGTATAGGGTACTGTATATTGCCTTGTGTTAATTTCACCTGACAGCTAAAGTCAAACACTCAAGAGTTACACAGGAAACTAAGAGCAAAATATCAGGATGATAACTTGTATTTCTCTTTGCTCTTATAATGACAAAGTGAATTATTTTGCAGCTCATTATAGCAATGATCATGTAAAACTGTATTCATGTGCAGTTTTCAATATACAAAATTGTTTCCATACCACCATCAGTTGCATATATATTGTGCCCTAAACCATCCACACTCTCACTCCACCTTCCTTATGAACAAGGGTATACTTCTGCAAGATGGCTAGCTATAGTTAGTTAGGCTATATCAGTGGCCAAGGAGCAAAAGATGCTAACTCAGACAGTGTTTGAACCGTGGCCTCATTAGCACGGCCAGCTGTGGCTAATGAACTGAGTCAACCAGCTATAGACAGATGTACAAGTATGTGCTGGGTGAGGTGTCCATTGAATACTTGACAAAAGAAGGAAGGGAGAGAGGAAAATACAATGAATGTATGCTTGTAAAAAATAGTAACACCTTGGATTACTGTTAATGACAACTCCTTTTTACTTTATTATTCTCTTCATGGTCATACCATAGCCATCATTCTGCTCTCTGTAGAGAGTGAATTACTATCCCAGTTTTAAAGGAAAGAAACTTAGAAAACTTGCTTTTTCCTAGGGTCCTATAGCAATTACCTAACTCTAGCTAGAACTTAGAACCTTCAGTCTAGGTACTCTCCAACTCTATCCTCAGCTATGCTGTTCCCATCCTTGGGACATTTTGCTGAGAAAGCTCAACAGTTGCTTTTTGCTTAGGCTAGGAACTAGTCCCATGGTAGATGTGGGCTGAGGGGTCAGTTTGCCACTCCTTTAACTCAGCCTTAACTCAGCCCAGGCCTACAAAGAGCACACACATGTCTTCCAGGAGTTTGCCAGTGAAGGCCTTCGCACACTCATGGTGGCCTACCGAGAGTTGGACGATGCAGTCTTCCAGGACTGGAGCAAGAAGCATTCTGAAGCCTGTCTGTCTTTGGAGAATCGGGAAGATAAGTTATCAAATGTCTATGAAGAAATCGAAAAGGACTTGATGGTTAGTGTGAGGAAGCCAGGAACAGACTGAGGGTGGGGATGGGGATGGCAACCAGCAGGCTCAGCAAGGGCTCTGAGAGTGGCTTAGCACCAAAACTTTGCACTAGAGGCTGGATGCTGGAATCCAAGCTGATTCAGGATATCCTGGATCTTCAAAATCAATAAATAATGAAAAATGCACTGGATGTAATTTTGAGATTATACTGGCTGTAATGGAAGACCCAGGGAGACCAATTAGAAGGTTATTGGAATGGTACAGGTGAGAGATGATGATGGCTTGGTCCAGAGCCAGCCTGGGTCTATAGTGAAGGTGGTGAGGAATGGTTAGAGTCTATTTATTTTAAAAAGGTAGACCCAACATAATTTGCTGATGGATTGGATTATAAGGTATGAGAGAAAGAGAAGTTAAGGATGACCCGAGTGTTTTTGACCAAACTGATCCAAGCTGGCTCTGCTATAAAAAGAGAAATTACTAATAGCAAGTGGGAAAATTTGGAGATCCCAAAGGTTACAAACCTCCTCCCATAGTCAGTTTGTGCTGTATTTCTAGACTTTCCTTGTAGAGGCCTAGCAGAAATCTGGTTTGTCTGTCAGTTCTTCAGTCTTTCAGTCGTGGTGCCCATCCCTGTGGTTGGCACCATCAGGGTACTATAGAGAGGTGTGATGTTGGCCCAAGATGCTTTTAATTTAGTGTAGGAAAAGGCATTGAAAACCTTAGAGGGCCCCAGTGGGTATAAATGAATAAAGTATACCCAAGCCGTTGTGGGGTTGAAGAAACAACTGGAATAGGATACAGGGATCCCTTGTCTGGGGCCCACTACTTTCGGAGACCCAAGTCAGGAAGTGTGCTGTGAAGCAAGGGAGTGTTGAAGTGAAGGTGTGTTGAGAAACAGACTTATAAAGTTTAGAAGTGGCACACAGCTTCATGCATGACTTGAACAAGCCCCTTTCCACTCTCTGGTCCTAGTATTCTGTTTCTAAATTTGATTTCAGTGTATGGTTGAAAAGCTGCGTGTATTGAGAGGTAGATTGTGCTGAGTTTTTTATCACTGGAGTCCTTATATCAGGACAGAGTCAGCTTATTAAAGGGGATGCTGGTGCCAGTTCAGTTGCTGGGTGGCATTAACTGCTGTGACTCTCTCCCTTTTCCTCACTCACCTGGTATCTTTGTTTGAAGCTGTTAGGGGCCACAGCCATAGAAGACAAGCTGCAAGATGGAGTACCTGAGACAATCATCACCCTGAACAAAGCCAGAATTAAAGTGTGGGTTTTAACTGGAGATAAGCAAGGTAAAGAGGAGCTCCTAGCCTGAGAATCCTCTTCCCTGCACACCTTAGCCATTTCTTGACAAATATTTTGTAACTCAGGTCAACAAGTCCTTACAGGACACCTTCATTCTCGGTCTTGTATACACTTTGTTGAGCAAATACTTTATGCCAGATGCTGTGTGTCTTAGTTATCTATTGCTGCTATAACAGAAATACCACAAGTGGATGGCTTTAAAAAGAGAAATTTATTCACAGTAAAGTAGGTAAAAGTCCAAATTCAGGGCATCAGCTCCAGGGGAAGGCTTTCTCTCTGTCGGCCTTCTTCTCATCAGTGTTCTCCCGGACTAGGAGATTCTCCATGCAGGCACCCCGGGTCCCAAGCATGTGCTCTGCTCCCGGCACTGCTTTCTTGATGGTATGAGGTCCCCCTGTCTCTCTGCTCACTTCTCTCTTTTATATCTCAAGAGATTGCCTCAGGACACAATCCAGTCTTGTAGATTGAGTCCTGCCTTACGCCGCTCATCCTCCCTCATTAACATCATAGAGGCAGGATTTATAACATATAGGGAAATCACACAATACCAGGAATTATGGCCCAGCCAAATTGATACACACATTTTTTGGGGGACATAATTCAATCCATGACACTGTGTTAGGCATTGAGGACACAAAGATGAATAAATCAGACATGATCCCTGTCATCTAAGAACTCATAAGCTAAACACTTTAGAGTTTTCTCTGACTATAACCTTTCTGTTGTCCCAAAGATGAATTCTCTCACCACATCCTGCCATCTTAGTTCAGCCTTCATCTCCTCTTGGCTGTACTTTTGCAAAAACTTCTGAACTGATGTCTCTGTCTCTTGCCCTTATTGATTTTAGCACAGCCTACACAACTATCACTATTTATATTTTCCTAAAAGATACTATTTTCATGATGTTACTCTCCTGCTTAGTGATCTACGGTGACTCCACATTGTAAAGGTCAGACTCCCTGTCTGGCCTTCAAGACTGTGATAATCTGTTGCTGCCTACACATTCTTATCTCCATCTTAATGTGACCGTTATATTCAGTATGTCCTACTGTAGGGCCTCTGTTCATGTTGTTTCCCCATTTGAAATGCTTTCTTCTTCCACCTAAACAAGTCTTAGTCATCCTTCAAAGCCTTCCTCCAAGAAAGTTTCTGTGACCATTGCAATCTTTCCTCTGAATTCTAATACCATTCACAGCCAGGGTTCAGGACTTAATTTTTTTATTAATACGAATTCATTTCAAACTCTAGATTTCTTGATATAAAGGAAGCACTACAACCCAAACTTGTCTCAGTCCCCCATAAAATCTAGCATAGAGATGGGCACAGTGCTGTTAAGGAAATATATCCTGAGTGCCTGGAGAAGTAAATACAGGCTGGAGTTCCTTTAAGAAATATGCAAAGGCTTTGTAGAGAAGGCTTAGCCAGAACGATCCTAGTTATTGATAAATAACTCACAAGTCTATACCCAGTAGACAGTCATCTGCAGATGTTTGAATATTGTCTCCACTGACCAGAGAAAACTACTCTTTGACTGCATATGTGGAAAATCTAGACAAATGGCCTCTAGACCCCACTGTTAGAGTCTATGAACCTGTATACTATGAAGACCCTGCCTCAATATATAGCCCCAGCCAAAGTGAGACCTGTGTTGCACTTTCCCTGCAGAGACTGCTGTGAATATTGCCTACTCCTCTAACATATTCAGTGAAGAAATGGATGGGGTATTCATCGTGGAGGGCAGGGATGATAAGACTGTTCACAAAGAACTCAGGTACAGATGGGAGAGCTGCCGTAGCCAATCACGGGACCCAAGATTTCCCACCCATCTCTTCACCCAGTGTGGCCCCCACAGTACCAGAAGGAACAAAGAAGAAATGGAGAAGAAAACAAGAAACCCAAAATATTTGAGAGAATTCTGTAAAGAAGCATTAGAGCTAAAGAAGTTGGAGTGTGGGGGATGGAAAGTACTGTGTGTAGATGGTCAGGGACCCAAGGAAGTGGCAAGTCTCAGGAGGCAGTCAAGTCTGAGCTCCTGGCTGCTGCTTTACTGAGGCCCTATACCCACCTTGCCCTCTGTCAGTTTGGAGTACATTTTCTTTCCTAAGCTCTAGAGTTTCAGATCAGACTCTGACCAACTACTTTTGGTTTTCAGGGCAGCAAGGAACCAGATGAAGCCTGAGTCTTTACTAGAAACAGATCCAGTAAACACTTCTCTCACTATGAAGCCCAAAAAGCCCTTCAGAATACCTGAGGAGGAGCCCAGCGGCAGCTATGGCTTGGTCATCAATGGCTGCAGTTTGGTGGGCAACACAGAGCTGCAACTCTGTTCTCTTCTTGCGAGAAACCTTCTTCCTAGGTCCAACCTACTTTAGGGAAATTACAGGACCCCTTCCCTGTTCCATGAGTCACCCTATTCCTCCCCACTTCAGGAGCCCTTGTGCAATGGACACCTTTCCCCATGCTTCTATAGACAGAAGTAAATGAGAAAAGAGAAGCCAAGGGCATTTTCCTTTCTTATCCAAATTATTCACTAATTATGGTGGCCTATCACTTATGGGAAGGGAGGAAATGAGCATAACCAGATCCTCCAAGAAGTCACTTGCCCTCATAGCCAGTCAACTGATTTGACCTAGTGAGGGGCCCTGAGCGGTTTCCCACTGGAGGTTGAGTCACATGTGAGGATGCCCAGACCCAATATGGGGGGCTTGTCCTCATTTGAGGGTGGAAAGCCTTAGGCACAGCTATGCCCGTCCTATGAAGGGCAGGAGAGTATAGAGGGGAGGGGAAGGTCTTGGGAATGTCCTGCCCTGAGGGTCTTTTTGGGCAGCCTGAAGAATGAGTATGTCCTGGTGCTGCAGGCCTATGCTCTAGAAGGGAACCTGGAGCTGGAACTGCTGCGAACTGCGTGTATGTGCAAGGGGGTGATCTGCTGCCGGATGACACCTCTTCAGAAGGCCCAGGTGGTAAACCTGGTAAAGAAGTACAAGAAGGTGGTGACACTGGCCATCGGGGATGGGGCCAATGACGTCGGCATGATCAAAGGCATGTGAGGGGATGGGAGAGGAGCCTCCAGCCATAAGCTGACCCCTTCCTTCATAGGCAAAACTGATTGGGGTGGCACTGTGCTGCTGGCTCACACTCCTGCATATCAAATGTGTTATACATTTATACTGTTATGCAGCTACATTCATGCTCCCCTATACCTGCACTCAGACTTACTTGCATATGCATACATCATCCCATATCCACAGGCTTCCACACACATTCCGATTCATGCATTTACAGTCATACACACAGATACAGCTGTGAAAGAAAACATGTATACATTCACTGAACAACAGGCTGTGCAACTACCATACCATCTTTCTGAGATGGCACCAAATCCCACAGAAAGAATCCCTGGGCAGGAATCGTAGTCTATTTCCTTTCTGAAGACTGTAGGCCTGAGCAATGTTAGGAAGAAGACAGAACTGCCCAGCCAGGGAATTATCTGTAAGGCCCAAGGCAGGGATCTTTTCCTCCCTGAGGCAGTGTTCCCAAGGGCTTGCCGGGGTTCTGCTGGCTGGAGGAGAGCAGGGGACTTACTGATAGCTTCAAACCAATAGAGGCAAATGGCTGAAAGTTACCAGTCTACATTTCAGCTGAATGTGGTAGCCTCCAGTAACTTGTGGTTCTGTGAGATGTGGACAAAATCTAGCCATCCTCTAGTCCAACCTCTCTTCCCACACAGGAAGCACTGGCCGTTATTCCAGCTTCAGCTTCAATATTGAGAAGTGGTCTTGCTCTCTTCCCCAGTTTCTAGAATTTCTGTTTTTTAGGCCCTTAGAGGTTTCAGTTATCCCATTAAGCAGTGTAATAAGTATATACCAGAAGATCAGTGAATCTGGCCTTCATTACAAAAAACTAATTAAAGCTTTTAGAAACTTCAGTCTTATCTCCCATCAAGTGTGATCCTTGCTTTACCCAGAAAAAAGTCACCATAGGCCTCCTGAAGAATTTGTTTCTCACTAACAAAGTATGTATATCACATACTCCTCCCAACAGTTAGATGTCAGCCCCTTAGATAAACTCAGGTAATTAAATACTTTATTAGACTAACATCCATCCTGCATCTTTAATTGATTTAACTGGCTTCCAGAGAAAACAATAAAATGTTAACTCAGCATCTGGACAGTAGGGAAGAGCCCAGATGGCTGGAGTAGGGGCAAAGACAATCTAGGACAGCCTTCTAGTCCTAGCCTGGCCAGGCGTTCTTGAGTGGCAGCATCCAAACCAAAGTACAAATGAAGGAGTTATTTTCTGACTTGCAGGGGAGGGACAGTCCACTAAGGAGAAAAGCCCCCACCAAGTAAGTGCCATTTTGAGCTGGGCCTAACAGTATTTTCCAACTATAAATAAGTGGTTTGTATAACATGATCTCAGCCTTCCCTCTAGGCTGGGAGCCCAACAAATGAGCTCTGTGGCTGAGAAGCTTCTGGGGTTTCGTTGCAGCTGCCCATGTTGGGGTTGGAATCAGCGGCCAGGAGGGGATGCAGGCCATGCTCAGCAGTGACTTCACCTTTTCCCAGTTCCACTATCTCCAGCGTCTGCTCTTGGTCCATGGTCGCTGGTCCTATAATCGCATGTGCAAGTTTCTCAGCTACTTCTTTTACAAAAACTTTGCCTTCACCCTGGTGCACTTCTGGTATGCCTTCTTCAGCGGTTTCTCTGCGCAGGTAGGAGGCCAGGTGACAATCCCCACTCTTTTCAACTGGGTCTTCTCTAGCCATCTACCACTTCAGCCAGCTCAGACCCTTTTCTCCTCTAGAGACCAACATATGATGTGCTGCCATCCACCCATCAAGTTCCTTTCCATGCTGATCCCATCTCCCACCCCTATACTAACCTTAGATTTCCAAATCCTAACTTTCCTGGCCTGGCTCTGTCTTGACTATGACCCTTATCTTAGAACTCTCCCATTGGCTATTTTCACCTTTTCCCCTGACATTGAGACCTAGAGCTTCCAAACTTATGTGGGGAAATTCTTAGATCTGGGAGTTTTCTTAGCATCCCAAGTAATCTTTAAGGGACAGGCTAAGCCTCAAGGAGCCTCTGGACCATGCCAGACAGGCCAGTTATGGTGTTCATCTGTAATCATATTTGGAAACACAGCTTCCTTTTACTACTTATTCCCCATCCCCACTGCCCCCACACACAGTTCTTGCTCTGATGAATTAATTCCACATTTGAATATGAAATCTGTCCCACCATAGTGGGGGAAGGGTACACCTGAATTTTGATGTTCTAAGAGGAGTCCTTTTTCCCATGAGAAGAGTTCAGGAGTCTCTCAAGGATTCCCAAGAGAAGCAACGTCAGGGACAATTATCTTGGGAGATCCCTACTATCCTTGTTGCCGTGGGCTCCAGGGAAAACAAACCAGTCAGGAGACAGTAGAAGACTTATATACCCCCAGCACCTAGAGAAGCAAGTCTGGTTCGTTGGGGGTGCATGTGTGTGTATGTGGCTACTTATCTCTTGTGGCTGGTAAGGAAAGGGGACCGCTCAAGGCTCCAGGATGGAGCACCCAGTTGGGGAAGGGTCTATTCTCCTTGCCAACATCAGGAGGTATCCAGTACTACAGAAACTACTGTATGCCAGAGAGATAAAAGAGCCCAGAGGCTTACATGCCTGGGAGTGTAGGAGTACAGCCAGTATTCCCTAGCAGGTACTCGGGGTCCTTTCTGTGCAGGGAGGGTCAAGGCAGGTCATGGTAGGGTTGGTCCAGATCAACCTTGTAGGCTTGATGTGGCCTTGCCCCAGCCTGGGGGTCAACCTTCTGAGTCAAGTTTCTGAAATCAAAATGCCGCTCTAGGTTAGTGTGGTAGTGGTAGTGGGAGGATGGTGCTGTCTTGGGCCTGGGAGGTGGAGCTAGGGATTGGGAGGAGAGAGGAGCCTAAGAAATCTCCTTGGTGTCCTTCCAGACAGTTTATGATAACTGGTTCATCACCTTCTACAACCTGGTCTACACCTCTCTCCCTGTTCTGGGCCTGAGTCTGTTTGATCAGGTAAGACTGCGGGAAAGCATCTCAGTTAATGCTGAAGCCCCTAGGCCCTTGAGGAGTATTCCCAAAAGTGAGAAGTTCTGCAAGAGCTGAGGTCTACAAAGTCAAGTGTAAATGGAATAATTTCTAGAGCAGGGAAGAGAGCTCATCACTCTAGATGGGTATTATAGAATAAAGAATCCTTTTCCATAGAGAATAATCATCAGTTTTCTAAATCCCATGTCCCAAGTTTTCCCATGTCAGTTTTATCCTTGTAGACAGGAATATGGAAATTGTACTACGTGGTAAATTGAGTGTGTACGAAAGTATTGAAAGGACAGAGAGTTATTGAGGCTGGACTGAGCAAGGGCCTTCAAGGAAGGAGAGACCAACCTAGAAATACTGAGGATGAGATAAACCAGTGCAGGGAGGCCTAGGTGAGAGGTCTTGAAGGGAAAGCATGGGAGTGTGGCTATGATACTGTGAGTCATAGGGAGCCAGCATAGGTGATACCATCCATCCCTACTAGAAATTCCCCTGGGTGTTGAGGGTCCTGGCGCCCCACTTCTCACTCCTCTTCTACCCCTGCTTCCCATCCTGGGCACATGGAGTAGAAAAAGAGCCTCTAAAGAGGAATAAAGTAGCTAAAAGAAAACATCATGGGAACAGGGTTCCCGGTCTCCATCAGGGTAGTGACTCTGAAGAAAATTCTCCATAAAGTAGCTGCCAACCTCCGAGCTGCCAAGAGGGAAGGGTTATGTCACTCAACAGTACTATCCAGCCTCAGTGGTCTAATTCTAGGGATCTACAGTCTCTGAAGCCAAGCCTCAAGCTTTGTTATCTGAAGTTTCAGACTTAAGAGATAAAGATGATCCAATGTTACCCACACAAAGAATTCTCCCACTTGAGTTCACCAATATGGAAATAGAAGGAAAATCACAGAACATGGATACTTACAAGGGACAAACTGGTCCCTACTGGCTCCCCCTCACTCCTGACTTTTGACACAAAGAAGATTCAACTAAAGGAACACCTAAACCTGGAAACTCATGTCCCAGATGCCTGCTACATCCCAAGCTCCAGTCTTCCTTCCCTTCCAGCTACCCAAATCCTAATTGCGCCCTTCTTACTTAACTCCCCAATCCTTACTGAGTCCAAATCCTCCCACCATTTTTACCCTCTCCTAGTTTTCTTCAACTGCCTAGGTCCTTGCCTAAAGAGTAGGATTTCAGGAAGGGTTTGTGGTCTCTGCTCTGTTCTGGTGGTTCTACTTCTCAAGCAATCCATGAGGTTCCCAGGGAGCTGGCAGCAGACAATCTAGGACTCATTGAGGGAAAAAGTGTCTCCTGTGGTGGAGATGGGACCTTCTATGGAGAAACCCTGAGCCATCCTCCTTACCTCTGGTATTTCCAGGATGTGAATGAAACATGGAGCCTACGTTTCCCAGAGCTGTATGAGCCAGGCCAGGACAACTTCTATTTCAACAAGAAGGAATTTGTGAAGTGTTTAATGCATGGGATCTACAGTTCCCTCGTGCTGTTCTTTGTCCCCATGGAGACCATTTACAATTCAGTGCGCAATGATGGGACGGAAATCTCTGACTACCAGTCCTTCTCCATGATGGTGCAGACCTCCTTGCTCTGCGTGGTCACAATGCAGGTGTGACTAGTGGGGATGGGGTAAGGGGACTGGGTGAGAAGCCTGGTGGGAGAGAGGGAGAAAGGGAAGGAGGGTGAGAAGGGAGCATCCTGCATTGTAGAAGAGGAAAAAGGAGGTGGCTGCTAGGTCCCAGGACACAGAGTACCGTACATAAGAGGATAATTTTCAGATTGCCCTGGAGACAACCTACTGGACACTCATAAACCACTTCTTCATCTGGGGTAGCCTGGGCTTCTACTTCTTCATCATATACTTCCTATATAGTGATGGCCTGTGCCTAATGTTCCCCAACGTCTTCCAATTCCTAGGTAAGGCCCTGCCCAGTGGGGGTATATGCGGGAGGCAAGAGGGGTAGGAGGGGATTTTTTAACCAAGTGTATCTGTTTAATGTTTATTGAGCAGCTATTACTATGTGCTAGGCTCTGTAGGGAAACCCTGGTGACATAGTGGTTAAGTGTTACGGCTGCTAAACAAAAGGCTGGCAGTCTGAATCCACCAGGCACTCCTTGGAAACTCTATGGGGCAGTTCTACTCTGTCCTATAGGGTCACTATGAGTCGGAATCAACTCGATGGCAACGGGTTTGATTATTTTTTAGGCTCCGTAGATAAAGATATGAATAAGACACAGCCTCTGGATTAAAAGGACTCAAAAATCTAGCTAGGGGGAATATTTTACCTTATTAGTATTTACAAGATATTTTCAGATTTCTTACCTAATTTGATCTTTACAGCATCCTATGATGTAGGCAGAACTAGAATTATTAGCACCAGTCTAGAGACTGAAGACAGATTTTTCAAAATTAAATGACTCAAATCTAGGTGTCCTGACTCTCAGTCCAATGTCTTTTACACTGTGGCATACTGCCTATTGTCTCCCATATTAATTTCCCTCTCTCCCATCTCTCTTCTGAGGACAAAATCTGAGGACAAAATGCAGACGGAGTAGAGATATAGATGTAGCTGGCTCCTAACTTTTGCCAGGCCACTAATTCATTTTTCTCCTCCAAAGCCTTCCGTCTCATTTTTATGTCCAGGCCAGTGCTGTAGGATTCCCCCATAACCTGCCCCCACCCCCCAACCCTGCCTTTAGAGGGAGACAGAGGCACCTAAATTCACATGACTTTGGCTCTGAAAAGCACCCAACCGTAATTCTTGTGCATTTATATTATGTCTCAGGAGACTAGATTATCTCCAAATCAATAACTTTTTTCTTTGGACCAGAATGGTATTTAAGTTCTAGCTGGTACCCCTACCCCTGGCTCCACCTCCTTCCCTCCCCGCCCCCCCATCACCTCACCCTACTCCCACTCTGTTTCGGCCTTTCTCCTTCTGGCTAATTGTTTTCAGGAGTGGCCAGGAACACTCTAAACCAGCCGCAGGTGTGGCTGAATGTTACCCTCACTGTGGCCCTCTGTGTGTTGCCTGTGATTGGGTACCAATTTCTCAAACCACTGTTCTGGCCCATCAGCGTGGACAAGGTAAGAGGAACAGAGTATCTAACCATATATGATTCATGACCCTCTTTGCCTTTGCCTCTGTAAATGAAAACCCTGTCCCCCTGCTCTGGCTGTAGGCTTTATCCAGAATTCGTGAATGCATGAAACATCCACTGCCACCCCCAGCCCAGGCCAAAATGAAACACATACACTATCGACGACGTTCTGCCTACGCGTTCTCCCACAAGCAGGGCTTTGGGGCCCTCATCACCTCCGGCAAGACCATGAAGTTCGAGTTACCCAAGAAAAGCAGCACTTCGCTTAAAAAATAGAGGCCCTTAGGGAAACTCCAAAGGAGTCAGTCATTGCTCTTCCTCCCTTGTTTCATGCAACTTAGTAAGGAGGCATTAGAGTCCCCGGGGAAGCAGCATAAACCTGCTCCTCCACTTTTGCTGCAGGGGCTCAGCCTCTTCATTCCTCAGAAGTAAGGAAAGGAAAGGTAAAGAGAAAGCCCCTAGATATCTGCCAGAGTTTCAGCATTTCAAGAAAAAATGTCAGGGCTCCCTTCCATCAACCCTTCCCAGTTTTAATCCAGATAAGCAAATATGGAAGTAGAGGGTGAAGAGGGAGAAGGTTGAGAAAGAAAAAGAAGATAGGACCTAAGAAGCTTACTTTCGGCCCTATCTCCCAAAGCCAGGGCAACCATAGTCCTCCCAGGGCCCCAGCCAACCATACTGCCACCCAGGTACCCTTCTCAGGCTTATCTGGGGATTTGGGGTGAGTCTTTTGCCAGCCCTAGGTAGCAAAAGGAGAAGGCAGCTATGAAGAGTTGGTCTTAAGAAGCTGAAGGAGACTTTCTGGACCAAAAAAAAAGGAGGTGATTCCTGCCAGGACAGGACAGCTGAAGGTTTTGCCTTCTTCCCTTCTCTTTGACCTCTTTGACCCAAGAACTAACATCTGTTCAGGCCTCAAAACTGGGAGGGGAAGACTGTAAGGGGTTTTAAAATCTTTTCTTGAGGGGACATAAGCCATAATTGGTGAGCATTTATCTTCACCCCATAAAATTATTTTGACAAAAAAATTATATGTACTTGGGAAATTGTTTATGGAGTAATAAATTGTTTATTTTGGAGTCAAGAGATTTGTTTGATCTGTTGGGGCCCCAGTGACAATAATATCCTCCGAGCAATATCATTGGCCCACAGATCCCCAATATCCTACCTCTTCAAATCAGACCAATATCCCTGCCCTCTTCTCTCCTTTTTCAGCTCCATCCCACTTTTCTGCCTCCTCCTGCTAGACTCATCTTGGCCTCAGTGTGACCATCTCTTTTTAACCATATAGCTCTATCCTCTTAGCACACCTTAAAATTGATTCCTAAAGCTCAGTGCTAGGTTCTCTGCTCATCTTATCAGTGCATTTTCCTAAACTGACTTCATCCAAACTCATGAGTTCATTTACCAACAAAAGAAGATTCTGAACTCTATCTCTAGCCCACATCTTTTTGCCAAGGTCCAGATTCATATACTGAACAGATTCTGAGACCCTTCACATACTGAAGCTCAGGAAACTCAAACTCAACCCATCCAACTGTACTAATCACTTTTCCCCAAATTTCACCCCAGATGCCACCACCATCATCCTAGTCACCCAAGGCAGAACTACAGGAATCATCCTGTACTACTTCTTCTAGCTTAATTTCCAGTCAGTCATTAAGTCACGTAAATTATGCATCCTTATTCTTTCTTGTTTTCAGTTCCCTCCATTACTGCCATTGCCCTTGTTCAGACTTTCATCACCTCTCACCTGGATTACTGCATAAAATCTTCCAACTCATCTCCTGAGTTCTCCTCTTTCTAAAGTATCACTGGCACTGCTTCCAGAGTAATCTTTCTGAAGGCAAATTTGATCATGTCAGACCCCAGGTTAGCATGCTTTAGGTGCTTCCCAAGCCTTCTATTACTGATCTTCATGTCCTCAAACATGCTGTTCTCACATCCTAAAATCCTTCCCCCCAACTCCCTTCTTCATCTAGCCAACTCCTAGTCACCCTTCAAAACTCAGATTAGGTTGGAACTAGACTAAGGTGTGGTTGCAAAACATTGTGAATGTATTAAATGCCAGGGAATTGTACACTTTAAAATGGTTAATATTATGTGAATGTCACTTCAGTTAAAAAAAAAAAAACTCATATCAAGCATTGTCTTCTCCCAGGAAACCTCCCTGATCCCTCAGTGTGATTTATATATCTGTTCTGTTTGTTCATTTGCACCCCTGTTCATACACCTCTATCGATGACACTTATCATAGGGCATTATACTAATCATTGATTTACTTGTCTATTCCCAGGCCTTAAATAAATGACTGTTGAAGGAATGAACAAATGAAAGAATATCAATATCTCTTTCTCTGCCTGTACTATCTATTTCCATAAGTAGTAGCATCACCATCTAATAGCTCAAGCCAGAAACATTTTAGACTCCTCTCTTTCATTGTTCTCACTTAATCCGTTCAGTTACCAAGTTCCATAGACTCTGTCTCAGAAGTGTCTTCAAATCTATCCCTTCCAATTCATCCGCAGTGCCACTGCTCTCATTGCTTTTTGCCTAGATTATGGCAACATCCTCCTCTCTGGTCTCCCTGCCTCCAGTTCTGCTTCTTTCCAATTCATTATTCACACAGAGAATAACTTTCCAAAATACAAATCAGGTCATGTCATTTGCCAGTTTAGAATCCTTTAGTGGCTCATGATGGCTTCCCTACCTTGGTATTGCCCACCTTTCCAGCTTTATTGACCACTCTATGATGCACACATCTGCACTCCTGCCATACCAAACTATTTGTAGTTCCCTGAAGGTTCTTCAGAAGCCTTGGCTCTTTATACTCTCTGTTCTGAGAGTACCCTTCCCTTCCCTCCTCCCTTTTCCTAGCTGATGTCTATCTCCCCTTCTTCTCAGCTTGTGTCACTTCCTCTGGGAGCCTTCACTGACACCACAACCTCCCATTCTGAGTTGGGTTCCTCTTCTTGCACTAGAGTACCTGGTACTTATCTCGTTTTCAGTTCCCAAGATCTGAATGCATTATCACTCACACACCCATTCTAATCGTGGTTTACTTCCCTGTCTTCTCTGCTAGGCAGTGAGCCATTTCCTTGAAGGCAAGACCTTTGTCTCGTTTTTGTATTCCCATCACCCAGCAGAGTGCTGGCAGTTAGATTATTAATGTTTTTCAGTGAGTGAGTGAGTGAATGAATGCAATCTATTACCTTTTATTTCTCCTAAACTTATTTCTTACCCTGTCCTTTCAAAATGAATCTTACCCTTCTGTCTCTAATTTCCGGTTATACGTTAGGGCCTTCTTATGAAACATAGTCGTCACTCATGGTCTCCCACCTGAAACATTTGTAAAATACAGCTTGGACCAGTAATAGCCCCCCAAAGCTCCTGAATAATCACCATCCTCTCCAGGTGGTTTTTATGCATAATGGGAGGTGTGAGTCTCAGCCTCTTCAGTGTCCACTGAGGGAACAAGGCATTAGATGCCACATTCCAAAGTGAGGTGTGACATGACCATGCACGACTTGTGAAAAAGGGGTTATGAAAAACAAGTTTGCAACTCTTAACTCCCTTGCCCACCTTGAGAAAAGGGCCAGAAATCCACATATTATAAAGGGATCTTTGGAGAGAATTGTTAGTGGGCATTGAGTCCCATTCCAACTCCCAGTTATTTCAAGTTGAGAGAAGGGCTTTAAGGAAACTACTTATAGAGATTAATATAATTACTGTGTTTCAGGGACACAGAAGATTGATGCCTGACTCATACCTGGAAAATCTAAAAAGTGAAGAACAATTAGCTATCTGTTATAAGCAGACCAAGAAGAGGTGGCTGTGGTGAGATTAGCCTGTGATTCCATAGTTTTTCCAGGCAAGGGATGCATAGGTGCCCCCCATAAACCGTATAGGGGCCATGTAAGAAAAAGACATAGCTGGAGTTTCTTTATCTTGTCAAAGAGACCATCTGAAAGGTTGAGGAGACCGCAGCAGAAGAAGGCATAAGATATGTTGTCAAATGCCCAAGCACTTAACCACTGTGCCACCAGGGCTCCCTCAAATGCCTAGGGATTTCTAATTAGATAGGAGGTTGCCTGAGGGCGGGATTGTCTATGAAGGAGCACAAGGTAGATTTTCTATATCTTGATTTTTGATGTGGTTACATGGTGTATACATTTGTCAAAACTCATCAAACTGTACACTTAAAATGTATGCATTTTATTGTCTATAAATTATACCTCAATAAAGTTGATTTTTAAAATGCCTACAGATTTTCTAAAGGAGTCATAAGTGATGAACTAGAGGAGATGGATTCGCCCACATTAAAGTAACTAGCTATAGGAGAGATATTGCCAACAATGGGGAGGAAATCTCTAAAGAAAAGAACCTACAAAAGGGCTTCTTGAGAAAGATTCAGCTTTAGATACCTGCCAAACACTGACACTAATTCATGACAGTATTAGTTAAGTCAGAAATTTCTTCTTCTCTTTTCCCTACCCCCTTCCTTGCTCAAGCCCTGGAGAAAGCAGGATTAGAAAGCTGGGGAAGGAGAAATAAGCGGGAAAAGACAGACATCTACTAAGCCCTACCCTGTTTACCCACTGATCATTGTCACCTGGGATAGGGCCAAGCTGACAGATGGGAATCACCTTAATTTTAAAATTTGAGGTTTGTTTTTTGCATTTAATTTTTTAAAATATTTTATTGTATTTTTGGTGAAAGTACACACAGCAAAACAGGTTCCCATTCAACAATTTCTATACATAATGTTCAATGACATTGGTTACATTCTTCAAGTTGTATCAGAATTCTCACTTTTTCCATTCTAGTTGTTCCATTCCGATAAACTTAGTCTCACCTGTCCCTCAACCTTCTCATCCATGCTTTAGAGTAACTGTTGTCCATTTGGTTTCATAGATAAAGTTGGACACTCTAATTATGAAAATGAAACTTAAAGTGATGAGTACTGGTTGCTGCCTAAAAATGACCAGAAAGTTCACAGAAGTACAGTCTTATGGAGTGGGTTTAAATAAACAGTGGGAGACAAACTAAATTATATCTCACTCCCAACATCCCACCTTTTAAGGTTCTGGTTTTACACACACAGATTTAGTTTGCTGATTAGATCTAGAAATTAGCACCATTTGAGCTATTACCTCAGACCTGTTTGCTTCAAAGCACAATTTGGATAGAACTTTCCAGGTCCTTCTGGAAAGTTCATTCTCTCATCCATACATACAAGAAATGTTTACTGAGCATCTACCACCTTCTGTGCACTGTTC